TAAGACAGACTCAGACACATCTGCTTTGATGCTGGTTGAAGTAACTGCAGATTTATAAGTGAGATAGCTCTGAGGGTCTTTTGAATTCTTTGAAAGCAGTTTACTACTTGCACCACTTGATACCTCCACACTGCTTCTGTTTTCTGACACACATGTTTGAAAGTCACTCTGATGGCACTGTGAAGCAAGTTTAGCATTCTTTGCATGTGCACTTTGCTGGTCATTTAAATTAGATGTAATCATTTCATAGTGAGCATCAGGGGAAAGAAACACTTCATCATTGTAGTACTGATAAATATCAGACCAGGAAGGGTGCTCCTCTTTTCTTCCAAAAGGAGAACTCTTTTGGTGTATTTGGAACCTACCATGACAAGCTGTATCTCTATAGTGGGACCTAGAGAGGTTGTTTTCCAACCCGCATAACGGATAATTCTCCCAGTTATCAAAGGATAGTGAAGTAGCAGCTTTGTCTGTGCAACTGATGCTACTAAACCAATTAGTACTTGACACAGCTCTTCTGTAATGGTATTTTGACCGGTAAAATTCATATTCTCTGTTTTCGTGCAGAGGGCAAGGATATGTATCTTGTTTTGTGGCATTACATTCCATTAATGATTGGGTCCTAAAAAGATTGTCTTGATTTGATGCATGTCTAGAAGTATATGGTTTATTCCATACAATAGAAGAGAGGGGAATTCGCTTTGGGGTTTGCCGATTGTTCCTTCTTACAAATCCACTGTTGTTCTCCGTTGCCAATAGATTTTGTAAACTAGTTGTTGAAAATGGCTCAGAGGATGCTGAAGACGGATATCTCTGAAGAGAACACACAGAGTAACTTCTCCCAACTGTACCCTTCCCCATATAACTCTTGTGTCCAAATCCACTGTTCTGTCTTATGGAAGGAAGATGCAAGCTACCTTCTGAGGACTCTCCAAAAGATACAGAAGACAGCCTTCTGCTCAGAACAGGGTAACTACTATCTAATGAATCCTTGTGCATGTATTCTTCTTTAGATGCTGAATGGCATCTGTTCATATATGTATCATAAAATTTCCTTGGTCTGTAGAAAATTTTATGGTCCTCTTTGGCTCTTATTGTTCTTGTTGCATCAGAGAAAAATGTGCTGGGTGTTTCACTGCAGTTATTTCTGTGTCGTCCCCTAATAGTAGTCTGTCTGCTTATACTGGGAAACAGATATTGTGCTCTTGGTCCACTGCCATCTAGATGCTTTCTGTTCACTGAATCTTGGGCTTGTTCCTGTGCCAGCTGGTCATCCAGATCACCTAGAACTACACAGAAAAAGACAGCTATTTTATTAATGTTCTCAAACTAATTATGCTGAAAAGTGTAATGTACTACTGTATATCAGTGACCAGATCAGGTTTTGAAAGGAACCACCTTCTCCATATTCAAATCCTCCTCCCCAAATATACTTCACTTCTTCCACAGTGCCTTTCAACGATAATCTATCATTGACTGGGGGGAAAAGTCTGTACTGATTTGAGACTGGTCCTCAAAGGGCTCCTCAACCTAGCCAGTGTTAGTTGTTTTTGCTATTTGAAAAACAAAAACAAACAAAAAAAAACACCTTAGTTTGCATTCTTAATTTACACTCATCAGCTAAGTGTAGGAAGAACCTTTCACAATTCTAGCTTGCAAAGCAAGTAGAAAAGAATTGTACTCATCAGACCTGGATTAACCAATGTGCACTCAGTGCACTTGCACAGGACCCCCATCTCAAGACTGAGTGGTACTGCAACCCCATGCTCCAGATTGCAAGGAATGGGGTGGGAGTGGGGTGAGTCGTGGCGGCTGTTGTGGGGGGGATGAGTTGTGGTGGCTGTAAGAGTTGTGGAGGCTGTAAGGGTAATGCGGGGGGGATGTTGGAGGGGGCTGCTAGGGGTGGTGGCTGCTGGGCTGAGGTTTTGGGGGCTGTGGTGAGTAGGACATAGGTCAGAGCTACTGGGATGTGTGGGGGGGGGGCTGTCAGGATAAGTTGGGGCTGGTGAAGGGTTGTTGGGGTATATGTGGGGTGGGAGGGGCATTCAGGGGTCTGTGCATAGGGAGCAGTATGTGTGGAGTGGGGGCGGAAGGAGCACGTTGGGATCTGTAGGTGGGGTATTTAATGGTGTGGAGGCACTTTGCTGTCTAGTTTACAGAAGGTGTGAGAGGCCCAAAACCCTTTAATCTGGGCCTGATGCTGATGAGCATGCGCAGATCTTTCTGTATGTTTCCAGAGCATAGACAACGCTATGATGTAGCTGTGAGCTGGAAGGACATTCTAGATATTAACATTCAAAGGAGCACATGGAGTAGCCCTGCATGTCCTAAGCTTGTTTAGCTTGGAATGTGTTGTAAATAAAACAGCTGAACATTTTCAGTATTTGGGCTGTGAAACAACTAAAAATTATAATTGCTATTAATCACAATGTTAAAAAAGTAATCACGATTAATTGCAGTTTTAATCACAATGTTAAACAATAACAGAATACCAATTGAAATGTATTATTTTTTTTTTATATATTTTCTACATTTTCAAATATATTGATTTCAGTTACAACACAGAATACAAAGTGTGGAGTGCTCACTTTATATTATTATTATTTTGATTACAAAATATTTGCACTATAAAAATAAACAAATGAAATAATATTTTTCCATTCACCTCATACAAATATTGTAGTCAGTGCCATCTCTTTATCGTGAAAGTGCAACATACAAATGTAGAATTATTTTATTTGTTACATAACTGCACTCAAAACCAAAACCATATAAAATTGTAGAGCCTACAAGTCCACTCAGTCCTACTTCTTGTTCAGCTAGTATTAAGACAAACAAGTTGGTGGCATCTGACTCAGATGATGAAAATGAAGGCATGTCGGTCCGCACTGCTTTGGATCGTTATCAAACAGAACCCAAATCAGCATGGAAGCATGTCCTCTGGAATGGTGGTCGAAGCATGAAGGGGCATACAAAGTTCAGCATATCTGCAACGCTGGCTACAACAGTGCCATGCAGAACACCTGTTCTCACTTACAGGTGACATTGTAAATAAGAAGTGAGCAGCATTATCTCCCGTAAATGTAAACAAATGTGTTTTTGTAATAAATAAATAAATACTTCTACATTTGAAAGTTGCGCTTTCACAATAAAGAGATTGCACTACAGTACTTGTATGAGGTGAATTGAAAAATACTATTTCTTTTGTTTCTTTTTACAGTGCAAATATTTGTAATAAAAAATAATTTAAAGTGAGCACTGTACACTTTGTATTCTGTGTTGTACAGTAATTGAAATCAATCTATTTGAAAATGTAGAAAAACATCCAAAAATATTTATAATAAATTTTAAATTGGTATTCTATTATTGCTTAACATTTCGATTAAAACTGTGATTAATCGTGACTATTCTTTAAAATCTAATTAATTTGTTTTGCATTAATCACATGCATTAACAGCGATTAATTGACAACACTAAGTAATTTATCGCTTATTGCTCACTTTCAATGATTTCTATAAAAGGACTATAACACGCAGGGCTTGGCAATGGCATTCTATGAATCTGTGGAGGTCAGATGGGTTGATAGCCTAGGTGATGATAAAGCGTAATAACATTTAATAAGAACTTTTGATTCACTCTGTCAACAAAGTTGCAGTTATGCACTAACCTATTAACCTGGATTAAACATTGAATTTCTTGTTTAACTGGGATGGATTTTAGATAGCCATGTCTGATAAAAAGAATTTACTGGGAGTACTTTCAATCAAAGGGATGATTTATGCAACGACAGTTTAATGTGTTCAGTTTGCATCCACATGAACTAAATACATCTAGCAGTTACACCAGAGATGAATTTAAGAATTGAGCACTAGTAAACACAAATGGTCCATCACCCACCTTTTTTAAGGCTGAAATAAAAAAAGATCTGAGTGTCATGGACAGCTCAGTGCAAACCTCAGATTCTCTGCTTTGCTTAGTTTCTGCTGAGGACAGCAGAGAGTGGGGGACCATAAGGGAGCCAGTTATGGCACAAGCAAAGCAAGTGGCTGTTTGGGACCTTACTATTTTGCGGACCTCACATCACGGCCAAATTCTGCAGTGCTCTCTCTGGCCCTGTGTCAAACAGAGGAGGCAAGGGCCTCCAGAGAAATGAGAGGAAAGGGGCTTCTGGGCACTGCCTGAGCAGTGATGGCTGCTGCCTAAAATAAATGATGGGCCTGAGGGTTCCGGAGAGACACCGCCACCCCCTGCTGCCTGCTCTCTCTAGCATGCCTCCCCCCCTCACTGCCTCCTAATCATACCCTCTCCCCATATTGTAATAATGTTTTCAAAGTGAAAAACTGGTGTAGCTGTTCCACATACGGGTCCTGGGTAGCGGTGTACCAAGGAGGACGTTTTTGGAGGGTCCCAGAAAAGTTCATGGAAGAATAAATTTCCTTGCACCCTTGTGGGCCAGTCTAAGCTTTGTCTGTCCTTACCTCACTCACCAGCAGTGAGACCAGAAAGGAAGAAGTGACTTGGCTGCTAGCCCCATTCACTCCCTCTGGTAATGGGCCCAGATGGGGAGGTAACTCATGGCTCCTCTCATTTCCTGTGGCTTGGGGCTCTACAAATCATAAAGCTAGCCTCAGCTACACATTGACCTCAATGGGAGTTACATGTGCAGAAGGACGGGTGTCTTCGAATGATTGTAAACATGAGACAGACAAAGTGAGAGAGAAGTAGCTGCCGTATTTGGAAGCAATGAGCAACTCATATAGAGAGACTATTCATTTAAAGAAAGGATCTCCCATCAGGGGTGCTGGAACAATTTTTATAGTGGGAGTGATGAGAGCCCTTTAGCCAAACTGTAAACCCTGTATATAATGGAAACCACTTCAAGTCAGGGGGTGCAGCAGCACTCCCAACACCTGTAGTTCCAGAACCTATGTCTCCCATATCCAGTTACACGTGTGTTGTTGGTACTACAGTATAAAAACAGCATGAGTGCACACACTTACCACGGAAGAACTCTTTTTCTAGCTGTTCATTCCATATAGGTGCACTGTCCTCCATCATTTGTGCTTGAGTTGCATCAAATAAATTACCAGGTAGTTCAGCTGGTAAAGATGAGTTGCATGTTTCAGCCTGTTGAGAAGTTTAAGAGACTGTGTAGCTTATTTTCATAGCAAAACAAATCATCTTAATATGGACAAGAGGAGAGAAAACCCTCATGGGTGCTAATATTCTTTTTTTTAAACAATATATGCCTGAAATCACAGTGCTGCACGTGTGAAGAATTAAATTCTACATAGTAAGAGCAAGGGATTTGGAACAACTATCTATAGTTCAGACTTTCACTTGATTTTGGGGGGATTTTAGTCCATCTTCTTGTCCAGAGGCTGTAGCACACTCCAGAGCACATTAATGCTGGTTTTGTATTATAACTGATATTTGTCTGTAGTTGTTAGCTGTTCACTCATTTCACCTCCACATACATTCTAGTAGGATATTGCCTCGGTAATTTAAATTTTCCTAATCCATTCTTCTTTAATGCGCACATTTACAACCCACCCCAACAACAGGTGGTATTCACCTCCCAGCAAAAATGTTATAATCAAATACCACAGTCACCTCTCCTATACTAAGATTTCATCTTCACACAATACTACAACTAATTTAGTAGCATTTTATAAGTATTACAGTTAAGACATTAGTAATATTTTAATGAAACAAATTCCATTTGTGATGCTTTACTCTTGAGTTTTAAAATTGTATTTTCACATACGCACTAATTCCACCAGCCTCTGGCAACACAAGCACTGCCTTGCAGGCCTTGCTCTCTCTGTACAGGTTAGCTATAGGCACACACGTCTTTAGCTCCCAAACGTCTCTCTGGAGTGCCAAGCCCCTGATCCCCTGAACACTCACACAACTCTCAGATTCTCTGCTCCCAAAGGAATAGCACACACCAGCTTACTAGATTCAACCCAGGATCACTGCTCCATTTAACACACAACACTTAGATATATTTACAGTGAAAACAAGAATAAGTTTATTATTAAAGAACTGAGATTCAAATGATAGTCAGTAAGACTATTAGAAACAAATGGATACATATAAAACAAATTCATAACATGCTTGCTACAGCCTAAACTTAACACAGACAGCATTCCTGTCTCCTACAGGATAGCTTACCCCAAGTCCTTTTCCCAGTGTTTTCAACCAGGGTGGCTGAGATTCCCCTTGTCATAAGATCAAGCCTGCTGCCAGCTTGTCTTCCCAGCTTTAAGGATGCCAGAGCATCTCTCTGCACCCCCAGATATGACCCCAGACCTTTGATCTTCCTCTGAAAACAGGGTTCTTCCCTTCCTCCTGCAATTTACTTCTTCCTGTTAATTTCCTTCTGAAATCTCCAAAAACTCTTTATTAGCATTAGACTCAGTATGCTAACAGATTTCCATTGTGAGATACACAATGGTTAGCTAAGGAGAGAAGTGTCTCTCTCACCTCCTGACGGGAGAAGTTTGCCTCAAGGCAAGCTACCTTTGAGAGAACCTGCCTTTAACTAGAAGGCCTAGAGAACACAATTTTCAGCATATATACGAAACTCCTCACATAGATATACATCTCAGAATGATTATAATGACCTGTGTGACACAGGCTTTCATTAGAGACCTTACATGACATTCTTTTGGTGAACCCAGGGGATCGCTGTGCCCCTATGTACCTCAATGCCCTCTGCCAGTTAGTATCAAGAAGTCTTTGGGTCACATCATGAGAAGGGGGCACCCGTTAGGGGGCCTAAAATGGAGGACCAGAATGCTGACTGTATGAGCTATCCTCCCACTGGGAACCTCAGTGGGTCCCACCATGGAATGGGGGTGAGGTCCCTTCATGGTCTTTCCTGCTCTGGTCTGAGTGATCTCAAGATCGATCAGACTGGTGCAGAGCCAACAAATGCACCTGGAAAGAGTGAATGAGCCCTTTATTCCTGTGTAATATGGGACCAAAATTCCATAAGAATTTAGGAACTGCCAGACTGGATCAGACAGATGGCTCATCTAGTCCAGTATCCCGTACCTGACAGAAGCCAGCACAAGGTGCATCAGTGGAAGATGCAAGAAACCTTGCATTAGGCAGTCAACGAATTACCTCCTTAGAAGGAAAGTTTCTTCCTAGTCCCTATCAGTTAAGAGGCTGGTTTATGCTCTGAAATATGGAGGCTTCCATAATTCTTGAGGCCAGATCCTCTGCTGGCATAAATCAGTATAGTTCCATTAACGTCAATGGATTTTGGCTGATTTACATGAGCTAAGCATTTGGTCCCACTCTCATTTAAAAAAAAAAAAAAAAAAAAATCTTTTCTATTGTAACTCTGGATGTTCTTGTTATTCATATAAACATCCAGTCTCTCTCTGAATCCTGCTTGGATCTTTGTTTCAATGATAGATTGTGACAATGAGTTCCTCAGGCTATCTGGGCATTGTATTTCCTTTTATCAATTTTAAATCCTGCCATTAGGTTCCATGGAATAGTCCCTTGTTCTGGAAGTATTAGAGAGGGGAAGTAGGAGTGCCCCACTTATCTTCTTGATACCATTCATTATTTGTATACCCTTATGTTCCCTCTTAGACTTGGTCTACACTACCATTTTATGTTGCTATAACTATGTTGCTCAAGGGTGTAATATATCCACACCCCCGAGCCATGTTGTTAAACCAACCTAACCCTGGTGTAGACAGCACTATGCCAATGGGAGGGCTTCTCCTGTCGACATAGCTACAGCCTCTTGGAGAGGTGGCGTATCTACGCCGATGGGAAAAGCTCTCGTCAGTGTAGGTAGTGTCTTTGCTAAATGCTACAGCTGCACTGGTGTAGCACTGTAAGTGTAGACAAGCCCTCAGTTGTCGCCTCTCTGATTACACCATATAACAGAGTTCATGTTAGTAATACAGAGCAGTGAAATGGTTAAAACTGAGACTCTGAGCCAACTTCATCCCAGGTGTAATTCTGTTGATATCCAAGGATTACACTGAAGTTACACCAGAGAGGAATTTGGTGCCTCATGCTTGAAATGTCTCTGTGCTACCAATCTGGAGCATCCAGCCAAAACAAATCACCTGAAGTTAGAACACAAAGGAGCCTTCCTAGTGCCCAGGCTCTATTTAGCTAAAGTAGTTCATAGTGACATCAAAGAGCCTCATTCCCACAAACACTCAGCACATAGCACTCTCAGTGTATGGGAGTTCTGTGCACCAAGGGCTTGCAGAATCAGAAATAAAATACTATTGGACCAAATCTTACTCCCATTGGGTGAAATTCACCCCCATGCATAAGACCTGCACAAGGCCTTAACTCCCACTTAACTCCCGCTTAAGGCCTAAAACAGGATGTAAGTGGTTCGTAGGTTTCATGTAGGCTGTCTGCATGGGGGTGAATTTCACCCATTGAGAAGTCCATTACCAGACAGACAGTCCCACTGACGTCACTGGAACTAGTAAAGGTGGCAGAATCTTTGCCTAACAGAATCTGAATGATCTGCATCTGAATTTAAACTTGCACTGAAGCCAGAAATCATGTGGATATGTGCTCAACCTGTTTGTAAGCACAGATGTAACAAATAAAACTTAACAATTGTAAATAAATCCAAATGGCAAATATTTGTTCAAAGTGAGTTCACATTTATTTGTGCTTTGGCTACTACTGCCAAAACATATCTTGTGTTTGTCCCATAGCAATAATTTATTAAATGATTTCCTTGTTAAAGAGAACTGAAACCGCACTGCAGAAGTTAGACTTCGGACTTCTTTGGAGACACTCGTACAATAAATGGGGCAAATTCATCCCTGGTGTGACACCACTGAATTCAACAGGCTTACACCACATATGAATTTTCCCTAGTATTTAAATACAGAATTGCAAGAATCATGTTTACATAAGTCATGTTTAAATAAGTAGCCAGCTGGGCATAATGTCTATTCTACAAAGACAGTGGACTAGTACTCAAAATATTCCCTGCTTTAAACATTTTTTTACAATAAAGTTGCCAAGCTACTTACCTGTGCCATTTTCTCAACTTTGGAAGATGTATGGGCGCCCAGAGCAAAGCTGTCATATCTGTGAAAAGAATTTAAAAAGCTGCTTTGAAGATGAACACAATAAAATTTTACAAGGGAGTAAATAGCCGGCTTGCTTCCTTTTAATATCCAGCAAGAAGCTTCCAAAAATACTTTTTATGAAGAGTCCACAGAGTTTGTCATGTTGTTTCTCAAATGCATCTTATGATATATTTTTTTCACCCATCAGGTTGCTCGAATCTGCAACTTGTTAATGTTCCAAGTGAACAGCCAAGAAGGGACCTCAGATTAATGGCATTTACGCTGCTGGAATATCAGTAAGGTAACTCTCCATCTGTCATTCTAACAAACGGTTATTTGCAATCTTAGGTAATTTTCCAAATGACAAGAATTTATTAAGTACTGGAGAGAATCTAAGGTTTTGGTTATATGACCTATAACGCTCAAAATGGCCCGTGACCTACTTATCTGAAAGACTGCCTCTCTTCCTATCCCAAATTGCCCCAGTGGAGATCACAAGGGCACCCCACTTGTATAAGAAAGAGGGGGAGCTGGCAGACGGTTCTCTATAAGGCCCTGGGGAATTTGCTCCCACCAGTCCAAAATAATCCTAATTTTTCAACTTTCATTGCACACTGCAAGGCCTAACTATTTTCCCAGGTTGTGAAGGATTGCCAGGACTCTGGTGGGAGTTCTTGTAAGGAACTTCAGCCATTTTTCAGCTGCTGCATTAATGTTAATTACTGGCCAAGAGAGGGTTGTATATGAAATAATGTATTTTTAGAATTGTGGTTTTTTAAATGTGTCCAGGGGCGCCAAGAGCAAAGGATGGGCACTCCTTTTAATGGAATGAGTGTATACATCTAACTAACTAAATAACCAAAGGAAAGGAGAAGTGCAGCTGATTTAAATGGGGATACTCACGTGAGTAAAGTGAGATGGATTTGTACCCATACAGGTGGAAAAAAAAATTTCCTAATTCAAATGAGGAAATTAACCCCATCGCAATAAGATATGGTTCCTTCTCCCACTTGCAGACCTTTGTTTAAAAATTAACATGCCTATCCCCCTGCCAAAAGGACATTGAAAAGAATTTTGCCTAGTTATGGTTGCTCTTCACTGTTCAGCCCTCCTCCCAGAGGGCTTTGTTTTGCTTATTCTTCTCATTTTTTGTGATCAATCCTGTCTATGAAAGGATTTTTTTACAGTCATTATTTCCTTTTGGTTCTTAAGGCTTTCACTGGACTGAGGTAAATTATTTTATTGTGCTTCAGCAGCAAGTATAAACTGGCTTGTTGGCATGTTCTGTGTATCCGAGTCTTTCTTCCCACTGCTTTGTCATTTGTTTGTAATGCGCTTGCAGGCAGGGAAGAACAGTTGAAAGGGATAGTATTTGTGTTTTTGCAATTGGGAAGGTTAAAATCAGGATCCCTTCCTCATATAAGGCATCATCCAAAACCAACTGAAGCCTATGGAAAGATTCCCTTTGATTTCCATGGGCTTTGCAGAATAAGGCTCTATGAGCCTGCTCCACTCCTTAACTTTGCTTGATAGCAGTTAATCATGTGAATATTCCCATTGAAGTCAATGGGATTACTACTCAGTGTGTGTAAGGGTTTCAGAATCAGTTCTCAAAGCCATATTTAACTTTTGTTTTAAGCTAAAATGATGTGGAATATGCAGTATCACTTAACACAACATATAGAGTTGAGCTTGTGGTATTTCAGAATCTTTACAATGATTTCTTTCAAACCAAATGCAGTGAGTTTGGTGTTCTGTTTTGTAAACGATCTCAAGTCTTATTCCATTAGAAATGGAAAAAATTCTATTGGCTGCTTCAACTTTGCATGTGGAGAATTGTTCTGTACAGCACACTTGCAAGTGCTGTCCCTACCCCAGTTTTAATTATTCCAAGCAGTGGGACATCATTATTCCTTTTCCAGTAGATCTAGCTATCAGAAATGTTTTTTTTTTTTTTTTTTTTAATATTCTGGCCAAAATTACTCCTGGTTACACCTCCTTGCACCATCCTAAATAATTCTTCCCCATCCTTGTTCTTAGCACTCTTTAAGTAATAGATGATGGTGTTCCTCCTTAGTTGTCTCCTAGTCAAATTATACAAACAAGATTACAATAATCTTGTGTCCTATATCAGTCCCTCCAGCCCCCTAATCATCCTCATTGCTCTACTCTGACTTCCATCCAGTTTGTCAGTATTTTGAAATTAAAGGTTTGTTTTCCTACGTGCAAGTAGGAAAGTGCAAGTATTTCTTAAATTCATTACCATAGAAACCAGAAATAATTTTATTTCTTTTGGTCATCAAACCACCTCCCCCACACACACACCCCCAAACATGAAACTAGGTACCTGTAGCTAGACAGATGATTACAGAGTGCAACACTAGAAGAGTGATTGCATTTAATAATAATACACAATAACTCCATGAGATAGATTCGGCAGCAAATTGTTAGTTTCAGTCAGGCTCTAATCTGCAATGGCCCATGCCTGGGTTCTCTCTCAGATCGCAGTCTTTTCCTTTTAATATTCGTATGAGCACTACACAGTACCCAGCTAAACAACAATCAAATTATGCAAGCATGTTGAAAACACTTGGTTAAGTAAAACTTAGTGCTTCTTTTTAAATGTAACACCTATTTAAACATGCTATACGAAGAGGATAAGAATAACTTAAAACATCAAATGCCTGGAATGGAAAATAATCACAGGTTTTACTTACTACCAACTTTGGTGTTACAACCCTTTTATTAGCCTCTTAAATAGCTCCACGTAAATAGACTTCTTTTTGCAGCCTTCCATAATATTTTTCCCCACAACAAAACACCCCACAGCAGGTGAGACTTTTTTTTTTTTTTTGCGCGCACAAAAGGGACAAAGTACCATCTAAACAGTCGCTAATACCTAGCTGTTTACAGACTTCCACCAGTCAAGCTTACTTACATGACTTACAGTGCTGCTGCCTATTGTACATCACTTACTCTCCAAATAACTTTACCTGGTGACAGGCAAAGTATTTTTATTGCTTTGTCTGTACATAAAACAAGTCACATGCCAAGACAACACCTAGAAAGGGCGGAGAAGTTTTCAATAGGGAGACGTGACTAGGATATTTAGTAATTGGCTCGGCTCCACATCAGAATAGCCTTGCTGTTTATTTTTCAAAAATTCTGCCTTGTAATGAGTCAAGATCAGTGGTGGGCAACCTGCGGGCCTCACGCGGCCCATCAGGGTAATCCGCTGGCAGGCCACGAGACAGTTTGTTTACATTGACTGTCCACAGGCACGGCCACCCGCAGCTCCCGGTGGCCGCGATTCACCGTTCCTGGCCAATGGGAGCTGTGGGAAGCAGCATGGGCTGCAGGGACGTGCTGGCCGCCGCTTCCCGCAGCTCCCATTGGCTGGGAACAGCGAACCGCGGCCACTGGCAGCTGTGGGCGGCTGTGCCTGTGGATGGTCAATGTAAACAAACTGTCTCACGGGCCGCCAGCGGATTACCCTGACATGCTCACCACTGGTAAAGATCATCTGAACCCAAGATCTAATTTATACATTTTCTGTTGAAAAATCAGGATAAATATATAATCGGGAAAACCGAAGCAGTGAGTACATACCATTATATGTATCTTCTATTGCTCTTTCAAAAAAAAAGTTATTTACATACTGTCATTTTCATACTGGTACAGGCTGCCAAATTGAAGAGCCCAGAATCTGAAGCCCCCTAGGCTTTGCTTTCATTTGATCTCATCCCACAAGATTGATTTCACACCAATATATATGTCCCTCCTGAAACCCTATTCTCTTTCTCAGTTACACAAATGCCCCTTTATGCTGTGGGCATTTCTGCTGTGGGAATGGCCCCCTGAATACTCCCTATACAGAGGGCCACCGTGGTTTGCATAGAGATGGTGTGAGAGCTCTATATTGGTCCTGCTCCCAGTCCCAAGTGTAGGGGTTATGCCAAGGGCGAAGGAGAGGGAAGAGCTGGACTGTGCTGTGCCACGGCTAGTATCTGCTTCCCAGCACTCACAGGGGGCCACTAATTTTCAATGATGGTCACCTTGCTGCTCTGCTAGGGAGGAGCTCTCTGGAAACATCTGCAAGGTGACCTCATTGTCCCTCTTCAAACCCCACCTTAAAACTCTCCTCTGCTGTGATACAAAAACCTCACCAACTGTTAGGTAGCTGGTGTGCGAAAACAACTACTTATCATACTGACCAGTATTGTCTCATTATTACCTTGTGCTTTCTTCCCCCTCCCCCAGTCTGTTGTTGCATCTACCTGTTGTCTCGTGTTATTTATTATTTGTATTATTATAGCACCTAGGATCCCCGGTTAGGACCCCACATTGTTAGGCTCTGTACAAACAGAACAAAAAAGACAGTCCTTGCCCCAAAGAGCTTACAATCTAAGTTTGTCTTATAATAAGTCCGTATGCTCTTCAGAGCTGGGTCCACATTTTTGTTATGTGTTTGAAAAGGACCTTCTACCATGGGCCCCTAATCCATGACTGGCGACCCCAAGCACTACCTCAATATAAATAATAACAACATTGCATCACAAAGAGGGGTTTGACAGTGAGGTGTTGCCAATGTGTCTACAAACTACTTGAATCTATTATCCAGGCCCAGGAGCGCCGCCAGCTTTTCTGCCGCCCCGAAATGCCGCCCCCCCCCCACAGAGGCAGCAGAAGGTCCCGCCGCCAAAATACCGCCACGGTCGCCGCCCCCCAAATTGCAGTGCCCTAGGCGATCGCCTAGGTCGCCTAATGGGTTGCGCCGGCCCTGTCCAGACCCCATGAAGAAAGGGGTATAATGGGCTAGAGCCGCTGCTATAGCCCAGAGACTGTAACAACCATGCAGCTTTCGTGCAAAGCCTGAGCAAATTAAATTTCATCATAGGATGGGAATTTGGCCCTTACTTTCCACTTAGTCTTTATTCTTTCTGACATTTAACTGATAACTTTGCATTACATAACCAAATAAAATCATGCTCCTACTGGGACATGTGAAAAGCAGTAGGCTGGAGAATCATCTAATTTAAACAGAGCTGTACACAAAGTTTTACAAGCAACGCATGAAACCATTCATTTTCTTTTTCTAACTACCATTAAGCAGTAGAATGAACACCTGTTGTGTATAGCTCACCGTGGCTGCTGCCGAGTCTGGTGCTTTAAAGTGTGCTTCCTTGATTTTTTGAAGGAGAAGAGTGACGCAAAAGGAGTTCTGAATCCCAGAATGGAAGGTGAGACATTCTTTTGTGCTTGTGGATTTTGGGGAGATGACATTTTAAACTCTTTAGGATCTAAAAAAAAAAATTACAGTGTTGCAATTATTTGATTCATTTCCAGTTCTTGTTAAATCTAATTTTTTAAACCATACAAAAATAAGCTACAGCTTTGCATGCCTGAATAAAGGCAGGCAGTAAGCTGTAATTAAAGATGAGTTGCAAAAGAAGCAAAAGGGGATTTGTTCCCTTTTGTGATTCTTTATCGACACAGCAAGTTTGTAAGTTGTTTTCCCCAGACAAATACATTTTCTTCTGTATAAAGTTTGTTAGCAATTTCAGACTATCACCGATTTCTTTTGGCTGAGCAAAGTGACATGCTGGCTTTTGGTGTCTAACTGGAGAATGGGGGGGAAAAGATACACAGGTCCACATTTTCAAAAGGGAGCGATGATTTTGGGTGCATCCATGCTTGGGTGCCCAACATGAGATAACTAAATTAGCCTGACTGTCAGACACTGCTGAACACCCGCCCTATGAAAGTCAGGCCCCTGTTAAGGTGTCTCCAGTTGGGCATCTGAAATTATTAGTCATTTTTGAAAATTTTGACCAAAGATCAGTAACAGGTTGACTTCTCAAATGTGTAAGGCGCTCAGATACCACTGTCTTGAGCACGCTATAAACACAATACAGACAGAATCATTAATTACACGAGTCATTTATTAGATCCCAGAGTGTTATACAACACTTGTTATACCTAAGTTTATGATGGATTCGCCAGACCATTCTTGGTGGTTGAATGCTACAATTAATGTTTAAAGTGTTTTATTTTATGTATATTCTCTCAGCTTATTTTGTTTGCAGAATCATAGAAAGGCATCATAGTTTATTTATTTTGGGAGAATATGGCCTTGTTTCCACAGGGAACATGAACCCTGTCCTCTTGGCAAAAGCAGTTGAAAGTGGGTGTGAACGACAGATTGGTTCACAGAGTAAGCAGAGAAACTGCAGTCTCTGCTGCTAAGAGGTGCTCCAGTGGGACCAGGGAAGCAAAGCAACATTCAGATAACAGGGCATCATTGAAAAATTGAAGATTTCCCCGCCTCCCCCCGCCATTTTAGATCACCAGATGTGAGAGCGAAAACAGCAGCATAGAAATACCTTATATATTGTGTGTGTTGGAGGGTGTAGGGGGGAAATGCATTCTAGAAATGGATACATAACTGAATAGAAATAGCTGATACAAACTGTGAGAGGCAAGGGCAATATTCTGGGGCTGGTCTCTCAATGAAATGAAAGGTGCATATCATAGGCAGTGTTCCCTCTAATTTTTTTACATCCATGTGCGGAATGAATTTTGTTATGTGCACCAATATGAAGGTGACACATCACCTTCATATTGGTGCACATAACAAAATTCATGTGGTGCGGATGGAGCCGAGGGGTTTGGAGTGTGGAAGGCGGCACGGGGGCGGAGGGGGGGGGTGCAGGCTCGGGCTGGGGATGAGGAGTTCGGAGTGTGGGAGGGGGCTCAGGACTGGGACAGAGGGTTGGTTGCAGGGGGTGAGGGCTTCGGCTAGGGGTGAAGGCTCTGGGGTGGGGCTGGGAATGAGAGGTTCGGGTGCAGGACGGGACTCAGGGCTGGGGCAGAGGGTTGGTTGCAGGGGATGAGGGCTTCAGCTAGGAGTGAGGGCTCTGGGGTGGGGCCGGGAATGAGAGGTTCAGGTGCGGGACGGGGCTCAGGGCTGGGGCAGAGGGTTGGAGTGTGGGGGAGGTGTGAGCTCTGGGATGGGGCCGGGGATGAGGGGTTTGGGGTGCAGGCTGCTCAGTGGCTGCGGTGGGGGGAGAGAGAGAGAGAGAGAGAGAGGACTCCCCACAGCCCTCTCTCCCCCAGCCCTCAGCTGCTGCGAGAGGCGCCTCTCCCTGGCAGCTCCAGCGGGCGTGGGCAGGGGGAGGGGTGCTTCTCCCTGCCATGGCAGGTACGTACTGGGGGAGAGGCATCTCTTCCCGCAGCAGCCCTGAGGTCCCCTGAGCCCAGCCACGCAGCTCAGAGGGAACTTAGGTCAGAGGGTTTCATTTTTGGCTGTAATGTATCACTTGTACCTCACTGACAGGCAGACTTCATGTTAGAAAACCTTTACTCCTTTTGGAACCTAACGTTTTGGTGATAGTAAGCATGACATCAAAAGAGTCACATGAACCTCTTTGTGGCCTTTAGGTGACATTTTTGGTATACAGCCCTTCTATGGAAATATAGTTCTGCTTCCTATGATGCTGCCTCCAGCTATTGAGAGGCAGAGGATGGTGATGTATACCAAAGGGTGGCAGATGAAAAAATTATACCAGATAGAAATGTGAATGGAGAAAAGATCTATTCATGAGAGCCACATGGAGGGAGGATGCGGGAGACACTACACCAGAGGTTCTCAACCTTTTTCTTTCTGATCCCCCCTCCCCGCTATAAAAACTCCACGGCCCACCTGTGCCACAATAACTGGTTTTCTGCATATAAAAGTCAAGGCCGGTGTTATGGGGTAGCAAGCAGGGCAATTGCCTGGGGCCCCACACCACAGAGGCCCCGGTGAAGCTACTTTGCTCAGGCTTCAGTCCCATACGATGGGGCTTTGGCTTTCTGTCTTGAGCCCCAGCAAGTCTAACACTGGCCCTCCTTGGCGGCCCCCCTGAACCTGCTCACAGCTCTACAGTGGACCCCGGACCCCAGGTTGAGATCCACTGCACTACAGAATGGGAAATTTGATAGGGACATTGACCATGTTGGGATCTGATGGGCAACAGCATGCATGCAAGAAGACTGCCCAGAGTTCTATCACAGTGGCAACCAGGCAGCAGACAGGGTCAATCTCCCACTTTGATAATCTGACACTTGCACACATTTTAGCCCTGTGTAATCAGTCACACTTCTATTCAAATACATTCAAACCTCTTTCATCCAAATCTTGATTATCCAAATTTGTCCCCTGACATCTACTCTGCTTCTCTGAAGCCTCATTTATCGAAAGTTATTTCCGTTTCCCTCATCTCCTTTAAAAAAACTAGACTGGACTGTGATCATTATATTTACCTTTGATTTTTATTTCTGTGGAACTAATGCAGTTTATATGAAGCTAACACTCATTCTTTCATCAGATAATGCCTACTGTATCTATTTGCTTATAATCTTTCCAACTATTATAACTCTAGGGTAAGAAATACCAAGAGCTTTGTAATCTGTTGCACGGTTGTGCTTTTAACACAATTACTTCAAAGGAACACAGTTCCCTTTTAAAATGTTATTTTGCAAAGCTCTGATGTGAGAAGGGGTCGAACACAATTTCAGAAACTTCTTTCTTACTGAACTTTGAGATGCTTTGCTGCATGGTTTTGGTGATCATCACATAAGAAAGGGATTTGAAAAACTCGCTATGACTCACCGGTTCTTGATGTCTTTCTTAGCCAATGTGCTAGTGGTCGTTTTAACATTCTGTTGACGTCAATTTCATTCCGAAATTTTTTTCTCTGTATTTCTTCAAACCATTCTCCTGTCACTCCCTGTAGTCCAGTTACATCTTGCTTTTTCTTCTGAAGTTTGCTAAAAAGAAAAAATGCCAGTCAACTTTTTCAACTAATTTAGAAATTTACCTTCTATTACTGTTCACCACTAGCAACTCTCCTTTCCCTCATGGAAACACTTATGCTTGATTTCTACAAATCAACTTACTTAAAAAAAAATGTGTAAAAGCAAACCAAATAAGGATTTAGGACATGATCCATCAAAGTCAATGGAAAGAATCCCTTTGATTTCAGTGAGAGCTGAAAGCCCAGTTCAGCAAGGTATTTAAGCACATGCCTAACTGTGACTTCAGGAAACTACCCATATGCTTAAGTTAGCCTTCTGCCTTGCAGAACCGGGGCCATAATGCATAAACATATACATCTTACAACTCATTAAAGCTTAAATTGAGGGTCTGTCACATCAGTAACCTAAATAATATATATATTGTAATTAAACCATTTTTGAGATTTTTCATCCTCATATTTCTGTAGGGGAAAAAAAACCCAATAAAATTGTTCTTGTCCTAATAGTAAACTATTTGTAGCAAAGACTGTATTTTGTAAAGCACTCAGCAGTGTGGGGTCCCTGTCTGGAGCTTTCAGTGTGTACTACGAACACAATACTAAATGCAGATTGTATAGCTATGCACTGTCAGTTAAACAAGATTATTACTCTTCTAACTTTCATTACTGCCTCGTGGCTTGCCCGTATTTAACATTGTGTATAACCAACCTACAATTTATAGATTTCTCCAAAGCAGATTTAGGCATGGATTAAACTATACAAATGTGGCTTGGACAAGGTACCAAACAAAGAGAAACTGAACAGCAATTGTTATTTTTATTCAAAATAACTGGTCATATGAATAGAGTATTTATTGGGACCTAAAAGAATAGTTTGCAGATGCAAAAAAGTCTGAATGATGCATGTTGCAGGGTGGACTGGGCCCTTACAGCAGAAACTGCTCCAGCCCACCTGTGCAATGTTAACAGCTCTGATGGGGCATAACGGAGGACAGGTGTCATCTGTGAGAGCAGCAGGAAGATACAGAGAAGAGTTGTAGTGAGCAGGAGGCTGCTGTGGGAGACTCTGACAGGGAGAAGGGTTTGGGCCTGGAAACCAAAGCCAAAGAGTTGAAGAAGGCTGAGGGCTGGAACAGTAGAGGGGTTTGACTACGGACCTCTCAAAGATGGAGCATAGACAGCATTGGGAGGGTGTTGGGCCCTTTCCTGGAGATGAAAGGACTCCAGGTAGGAAGACTGGGGAGTATGTGCTGGGAAGAGCAGGGAAGGACTCCAGCTAGAAGGGGCTGAAATAGCTGCTTGATTGAAAAGCAGACTGGGATTGGAGAAGAGCCCTGAGACTAGCAGATTAGAATAGGTGGTGTATTGATGGACTATATTTTGAGACTTTGAGGCTGGTTTGAATTGTTTATGTTAATACAGCCAGATCCTAAGAAGGAGTATTGCTGGTCATGAGAAAGCCTCCAGCACAGTTCTTAAATGCTCCTGAAGAGGGTAAACAAAGGCAGAGTGCTGCACAGCCAACCCTGGCTATGCTGGGGTGCTCAGCGTGTGGCCAACCCTGTTACTGTGCGCCTGGATTGCAAAACTACTGCAATGTCATTTGAAAGCAAGAAGTGCCACACCCACATGGTATTTCGGATGGGGAGAAAGCCTTTGTGTGCAGCCCTGTGACCAAATGCCAGTGTTTAACAATGGCTCTCAAAAAATCTTCCCTGTGGTAAATCCCACGACTCAGGGTATGTCTTCACTACCCGCCGATCCGGCGGGTAGCAATCGGTCTATCGGGGATCGACTTACCGCGTCTCGTGAGGATGCGGTAAAATCGATCCCTGATCGCTCTGCCGTCGACTCCGGAAATCCACCTCGGCAAGAGGCGGCAGCGGAGTCGGCGGCAGCGGTCGACTTTCCCCCGTCCTCACCGCCAGGTAAGCCGACCTAAAATATGCAACTTCAGCTACGGTATTCACATAGCTGAAGTTGCGTATCTTAGGTCGGAACCCCGCTGTAGTGTAGACCTAGCCTCAGGCGTGCCTGTGCTCTGAGAGGAGGGTTACAGGCTGAGAAATCTATTCACTTATCGATTCACATACGATCACTTTCTGTCTCTGTTGGAGACACCACTGCTGGCAAACAAGCTTACATTAAATGCACATGCTGGAAACACTCACACTTCTTCCAGAAAACAGTACTGAGTAGTGCATTGTTCAGCTGATGTCATTTAAAGGAAGGTAGGCTCAGGGTAGACCTTTATAGGTAGGTTTGTGGAGATTTCCTTTGGGGAGGATTTTTAAAAAAACAAAACACAGCTGGATATTTGGTGCAATCTGATGCAAAGGCAAAAACTCTACTCTTCAGGAAACCCGAATGATTAAGAAGTATTGAGGGAGATGGTGAATTCCATCAGAAGCAGGAAAAATCACCCCCGCTCCCATGTCAAACTGCTGGAAGAATTTGAACAAGATGTTCCCACGAGCCACCTCCATTACAGCCTTAACACAAGGGATTCAATTAGGGTGACCAGACAGCAAGTGTGAAAAATCGGGACAGAGGTTGGGGGTAATAGGAGCCCATATAAGAAAAAGACCGAAAAATCGGGACCGTCCCTATAAAATCGGGACATCTGGCCACCCTAGATTCAATACATCAGAGAGAGTAAAAATACAGACACAGAACTATAAATGCAGCATCTGGGGAGAGTCTGCAGTCACAAGGAGCACAAACTACCTCAGAAACAAGCATAGACCTGCTTTGCTGGAGTTCTGAAAGATGAGAACATCTATAAGACATCCCCATCGTCTCTTTGAAAAAAATAAGTATAAATTATTAGTCTGATTTGTGTAAGATGTAATGATATGACAGATCAGAAGTTACATATATATTATATCAAACCAGTTTAATTTTTGGACTTATTTTTTAAGAGGAAAACAGTTCAAGAAAGGCAGATGAAAATCATATTCAATTTATTGCCATCTAGTGGTAAAAAGCAAAAAGTGTTCCGAAAGCTTGATGAAAAACACCTGAATTCCCTACGCAGGGCTTTGGAACTGTTCTGGCTCCGCTCCAGCTCCAGGCAAAAACCTGCAGCTCCACTGCTCCAGATCTATTTATATATATAAATATCCTAACCATGGCCTCAAACTTTTGGAAGTTTTGGGCAGTTTTTTTTAATCTATTTTTAAGATTTGCTCTCCTGCTAGGTCAAGAAGGTGTAAAAACAAAAAAAATCCAACCAGCCCTACACTCTATCTGTTGGATGAATAGATGTTGATATTTCATTCCAACTATACAACATTGCAAAGATTTTATTTTTTTTAATTCATGCACTCTAAAGCAGTGTAAAGTTTTTACTGGTATTTGTTTTGGATGATCTGCATATATTACTTGTGCGGGATTTGACGCTTATGAATAATACAGTTCTTCCAAACTCATGCAAAAAACTCCCCAGCCCTTATGTCATTTTATATATATATATATATATATATATATATAGTAACTAGATTATGATATTTTATACATATATTATCTTTTATTATATACCATCTAAATACTGATCCCCTCTCTTTGGAGGAGCTCCCATCAACACTATCTTACACCCACTATACATTTGCCCAATCACGTCTACATGGTCCCCCTAATCCATGCTGAACAACAATATTAAACTACAAGGAAAGCAGTTCTTGAGAATATAAAGTAATTAACAATCTTGTGTTGTAATCTGATTCCAAATATAGACCATGAAACGTGCCTGTGACTCACTGCTATTATTATTTGGATTGCAACACTGCTGAATAAAGCAGAAAACAAATTAAATATTGAGACAGTGTTCTGTAACACCATCTAAACCCTAACTGCCCTCTTCCACTCCTCCACTCCAGTTCTTTCATGGCACCTATTTGAGCATCTTGGGAGGAGACAACAGTGTGACTAGCAAAACTACCTCCAAAAACTTGGAGGATAAAAGATTATTTCTAAGACCCTACCAAATTCACGGTCCATTTTGCTTAATTTCACAGTCATAGGATTTTTAAAATAATAAATTTCATGATCTCAGATATTTAAATCTGAAATTTCATGATGTTGTAACTGATGGGGTCCTGACCCAAAAGGTGGTAGTGGGGGGGGGGTCGCAAGGTTATTGTAGGGGGGTCATAGTATTGCTATCCTTACTTTTGTGCTGCTGCTGACAGCGCTGCCTTCAGAGCTGGGTGGCCGAAGAGCAGCAGCTGCTGACCGGGAGCCCAGGTCTGAAGGCAGCGCCACCAGCAGCAGCAGCGCAGAAGTAAGGATGGCATGGTATGCTATTTCTACCCTTACTTCTGTGCTGCTGCCCTCAGAGCTGGGCCCTCGGCCAGCAGTCGCCACTCTCCAGCCGCCCACTGCCACCCTTATTTCTGCGCTGCTGTTGGCGGTGCTGCCTTCAGAGCTGGGCACCTGGCCAGCAGCTGCCACTTTCTAGCCACACAGCTCTGAAGGAAGCACAGAAATAAGGGCGGCAATATCACGACACCTGCCCCCACAGTAACCTTGCAGCCCCTTTTCCCCCCCCATGACCCCTTTTTGGGTCAGGACCCCCAGTTTGAATAACACTGGTCTCCCCTGTGAAATCTGTATAGTATAGGGTGAAAGTACGCAGAAGACCAGATTTCATGGTCCGTGATGCGTTTTTCACGTCCGTGAATTTGGTAGGACCCTAATTATTTCCAAGGACTTCACCCAGAAGGCTGACTGTGTTGACTGTTCAACAAACTATAGCAGGCAGGGCCGGCTCCAGGGTTTTGGCCGCCCCAAGCAGCCAAACAAAAACAAACAAACAAACAAAAGCCACGATCGCGATCTGCGGCGGCAACTCGGCGGGAGGTCCTTCGCTCCGAGCAGGAGTGAGGGACTGTCCGCCGAATTGCCGCCGAACAGCTGGACGTGCCACCCCACTCCGAAGTGGCCGTCCCAAGCACCTGCTTGGTAAGCTGGTGCCTAGAGCCGGCCCTGATAGCAGGTACAATCCTGAATGACCCCTCTTTTCTAACTTTTCCCCATCATTATCTCAAACAATATCTCAACTATATATTGCTCAATCCACGAACAATTTCATCACTTTTTTTTTTTTTAATACACACCTCTTCCATATTTGCATAAACAGGTCCTAATTCTTCTTATGTAGGCCTGGAGATGGGGAGGAAGTGACCCGAGCGTTTTTGTTTGTGCTTTGATATGGAACCTACTATCATTAACATAATTGCAGAGAAAGCTACAGTCTCAACATGGCACTTCCTGTTGTGACACTTGGGAGCTTCTACTGCTAGAGAAAGAGGAAAAGTATCTTTTCTACCATCCTCATACTGTAGAAGGGTGAGGGAAGGAACTAGTAATGAAACAGAGACTGGGGTGCTGAGCAAGAGCCTCTGAAAGAGGCTCTATAACAACCTGCTGTTTACTTGTGAATGAGGACCCAATTCTGCTTCTACTTGAGTCAAAAGTAAAACTCCCATGATTTCAGTAGGAGCAAGATCAGGCCCTAAATGATCCTTGAATACAAAATGGCAAACTATACATCTTGCAGTATCCAGAGAAAGAGGAAGACTTCACAGGGGGAAGGAGGGGCAGACCAGAAAGAACTCATCAGTTCAAGGCAATCAGTGGCTGAGAAGGCAAAGCTGAAGTGGCTACATGAAAAAGAAAACAAAACTGTGCCCACAGCATTAGATACCAACTATTGCAGTGCAAATAATTTGCAGCAGTCATTCAAGGAATTTATTCTTTTATTCTGCTCATACTTGAAGTGGGTTGCTTCGTCAGTGAGGGGTATACAAACACACTGGAAAAACAGCACTAGAAAACCATTTTTTTGTCTAATTTGGACCCAAGATTTCCCTTTACAAAGAAAAGCATCTTTCCCTGGTATTTCAACTTACTACCTTCCTCCTGCTTTATTCTGTATGCCCCTTTGGTGAACTCTCTATCCTTGGCTTATGTATCTAGTTAATTTTGACTTAGGCCTGGTCTACACTAACACCCCAATTCGATCTAAGGTACGCAACTTCAGCTACGTGAATAACGTAGCTGAAGTCGACATACCTTAGTTCGAATTTACCGCGGTTCAGACGCGGTCCACACACGGCAGGCAGGCTCCCCCGTCGACTCCGCGGTACTCCTCTCGCTGACGTGGAGTACCGCAGTCGACGGCGAGCACTTCCTGGTTCGAATTATCGCGTCCACACCAGACGCGATAAATCGAACCCGGAAGTTCGATTGCCAGCCGTCGAACTACCGCGGTAGTGTAGACAAGCCCTCAGTTACTTCAATCACACATCCCTCAGAATGCATAAGCCAGCAGTTCCACTAATTTATTTATGTATGTATATAGTAACAATATAAGAGATATTTAAAGGTACACGGGCAAGTTGTCATCTTTAAAAAAAAAATCCCTCTATGTGTTACTAACAATAGCTTATATTATTACAGCTGAGAGAATTTAAGATTTTACTTATGTACTATTTATGCTCTTGTTTTCTTCTTGTACTTCTTTCAACTTAGATAATGAAAATTTCACTTTTCTGCTGGAGGCACACTGCAGGAGTATTAAGAGCCAGAAAGTGAAACGGACTACATCTGGGATGCGCACACTACGGGGATTTCTGTAAAAGTCTGTAATCCTGCAAAGGTTTATTTATCTAACATCTTCATGTCTGTCAAATTAAGAATGTGCATATTATGTCTCCACAAAATTAGTGTCTAGATCTGAAAATGTTTATATTGACTTTTTTTTAGAAGAACAAAATAGTTTTTGTCAATAGTGGATTGGCAAAACAATACAAGGCTTGGGTGTAGACTAGTAGACAGTGTCCTTTTAACCTGTCACCTTTCATTTTCTCTCAATATTTCTTTGTTTTTCTTCTCTGAATTTCTTCACATGGTGGTGCTATTATTTGCTGCTTTTACAGCACTCATAATCAAACAAACAGTAAAGGGTGTTAGGGATAAAGGTCACAACAAGAAGATTGCGCAATATATACATTCAATCTTTTGCCCTCTGAGGGCCGGATCCAAAGCCCACTGAAGTCAATGGAAAGACTCTTCCCACTGATGCAAGGAAACGCCTCAAAAGTAAAGGTACAAAGGATTTTTGGGAATGAAACCCCTGACTCCGTGGATCAGCCTCTCAACTCTAGTCCTCTGGCCCTCCTCTCTCAGGCTGCATACCACTTTAAGGAGCTGGACTGTCAATGGGCAGAGACCAACTCCTGCACATAACTCCCACATGCATCCTGGAATGCAGTTACTGCTATTTTAAGCGGGAACATCTTAAGGCAAGTCTACATTACAAAATTAAGTTGAGCTAAGTTACGTTGACATACAGCCATTGCAGTGTCCACACTATGCGCCTTGTGTCGACGGTGCACATCTTCACAAGGAGTGCATGCACTGATTTAACTGTCACCGCGGGGCATTGTGGGACAGCTTCTGAAAGGCAGCAACAGGTAATTTAAGCAATGCAGTGTCTACACCAGAGGTGGGCAAACTACGGCCCACGGGCCCATCCTGCCCGGCCCCTGAGCTCCTGGCCTGGCAGCTAGCCCCCGGCCCCTCCCCTGCTGTCCCCCCTCCCCCGCAGCTATGCCACCACACAGGCAGCGCTCTGGGTGGCGGGGCTGCACGCTCATGCAGGACAGTGCGGCAGTGTGTGTGGCTCCAGCCGGGAGGCGCGGCTCCAGACATGCTGCTCTGAGCGGCATGGTAAGGGGGCCGGGGGAGTTGACTATGGGGCAGGGGGTCCTGGGGGGCAGTCAGGGGACAGGGAGCAGGGGGCAGTTGGATGGGGCAGAGGTTCGGGGGGGGCAGGGGACAGGGAACAGCGGGGATTGGATAGGGGGCAGGGGTGTGGATAGGGGTCGGGGCAGTCAGGGGACGGGGGGGTTGGATGGGGGTGGGGTCCCGGGGGGCGGTTAGAGGTGGGAGTCCCAGGAGGGAGCGGTCAGGGGACAAGGAGCAGGGGCGGTTGGATGGGTGGGAGATTCTGAGGGGGGCAGTTAGGGGGCAGGAAGTGGGAGGGGCGGATAGGGGGTGGGGCCAAGCTGTTTGGGGGGCACAGCCTTCCCTACCCAGCCCTCCATACAGTTTCATGCCCCGATGTGGCCCTCGGGCCAAAAATAGTTTGCCCACCCCAGTCTACACTCATACTGTGCCAACCTAAGTATGTCAACCTAAGCGCTACACCTCTTGTGGAGGTGAAGTTATTAAATTGGTGTAGTAGGCCTGTTACATCGGTGGGAGCTACATTTTAGTGTAGATGCTTAGAGTTAGGTCAATGTAAGCTGCCTTAACTCGACCTAACTCTGTAGTATAGACCAGGGCTTGGCTGTGGCTATTTGATTGCAGCCTCTAGGAGAGAGAATGCCACAGATAAGGGGTCCCCCCCCATCCTAGCACTGAAACTGCAAGAGCCCTGTTCGCATTAAGCATCTGCAGAAGGTCTTATGGATGGGGGTGGGGAATATTTTAGTGGAAGCAGCACTCCTTTATCTTCTCTGCCCCTTCCAGGAGTTCCACCTCCTCTAAGTCCTCTCCCCCGCCCCACTCCCAGCCCCCTTGTAAAAAAAAGCCACAAAATCTGTCCAATATATTTTCCTTAATGAGCTATTACAATAAAAACTGCTACTGTACATCACACAGCTTCAAAGCCCTTAGAGCAAAGGAATAATCAGAGGTACCACATACCAGACAGATGCCAGAACATCTGGGAGACAGAACAATAAGTGTGTGAACAATGTGTATGCTAGCTCTAATCACAAGTTTATACATTTAATTCAACACTGACTGTATTCTGGTAAAGCCTAACTCAGTACGAATGTAGAGGTTAAATTTTAATCAGTCTACAAAGGAACTGATTCCAGAAAACTAAGCTATCATATCACTGATGTAAATTAAATATCATCTCTGGACTCCCTGGGGTTTAACCACAGGAGCATCCTTGCACCCTATACTTTATAGTTGTCTTTGGTGCTGTAATCTTAAAATGAGCCCCCTCTAGTCACCGGGAATAGGCTACCTGCATTTCCCCCCACCCACTCCAAAGCAGCAACTTAGCATATTAAACTATATCCATGAGTTTCCTTATTCTAGATGTTATTTTTCCTTTATTTAAGCCCAAAACTCCATCTCCATTAACTGCTGTCTGTTCTCCTGGGCAGGAGCATAGGCAGACAGACTGATTTGAAGTGGAAACCATTGGAACTTCATAACAAGCTGCCAGTGGGCAGCTACAGGAGCAAGAAGCCAGATTCATCCCCATGGCGAGTACACAAATTACCTGTGTATGACAACTCAGGAAGCAGGAGTTCAGAGGAAGCTAAGAAATCAGGAGTTCAGATTGTCTTTAAGTCAAATAATGCAAGTCCTTAAAGCACAGAACACTACAAACTGAGACCACGATAGCTAAGTGTATTCATCACCCAGCTCAAGCTATATCGACGTTTCACAACCCCTCCAGCACATTAAACCACTTCATTACCAGAGGCTGAAAGAACAGTCAGAGAGGAACTTTGTGTCACTGAATCTTGACATCTGAATCTCACTATTACCTGGTACGAGACAAGGTGGGTGAGGTAATATCTTTCATTTGACCAACTTTTGTTGGCAAGAGATAAGCTTTTGAGCCACACAGAGCTCTTCTTCAGGTTTTATCTTGTGTGGTCAGTCAGTTTATCGTGAAGATGTTATTTTGTGCCATGTTGCTATCAGGGAACAAGTAGACAAGGCAGAAATTGGAGTATCTTTTTACTGGACCTATGAATAGGTTAGAAAACACAAGTTCTTGAGTGACAGTTCATTAAGGGCATTATAATGCCACAGCTGTCAGCTGCTCTCTGTCTAGAAAGTGGGCCTGATTCTCAATTGTCCTGAACCTGGTTCAGTCATTTACCTTTATGCAGAGTGCATTATGGGTGTACAACACTACTATTGTGATTTGGTAATGTTTCATAACCGATTTGTGCTGTTTGTGCACAGGTATAAATTACTATAGGAGCTGCAGGGCAGGGGTGGGGGGAGGAAATCAGTTTGTGCAGAATGGCTGATGTACTGCACTTGTTATCACACTGCCTATGACCAAGATGTTCACAAGCTACCTAGCAATATAGTAATAAAATAACTATAGGTTCATGATGCAATTGAGGGGAAGAATGTTTATAATCTTTTAAAGTATGCTGTGTGGGTGTGTAAATTCCAAATGGTGGGTAAGGGAGTGTAGCTACTGACATAACCTGACTGATTAGAAGTGACTCTCTTAGGGTAGGTCTACACTTACCCAGTAGTTCGGCGGCAAGCAAATCAAACTTCTGGGTTCGACTTATCGCGTCTTGTCTGGACGCGATAAGTCGAACCCTGAAGTGCTCGCCGTCGACTGCGGTACTCCAGCTCGGCGAGAGGAGTATGCGAAGTCGACGGGGGAGCTTGCCTGCCGCGTCTGGACCGAGGTAAGTTCGAACTAAGGTACTTCGAACTTCAGCTATGTTATTCACGTAGCTGAAGTTGCGTACCTTAGTTCGAATTGGGGGGTTAGTGGAGACCTGCCCTTAGATAATGTCCCTTGTAGTGGTTTTGATTTGTATGTAACCAAGACATGTCTACTCTTCCAGTCTAATGAGTTTTTAGTGGGTCATGAAAAAAGACTTTTCATAAACAAATACCATCTCAGTAGATAATGTTAACACGCTTAGGGAAATCATAGCAAACCCCTGCTCTTCCATGCAGGTGACTTATATACACTTGGTGTATGCAGTAATATATACACTTGGTGCTTTAAATGTCATACAGCTGAAAACAATTATAAGCCAAATCTGGGAGAAAAAAATGTAATCAGAAAAATCTAAATGACAATGGTTTAAGAACACTCTACTACACTGTTTTTCAAAGTTCGGGTCGCGACCCAGTACTGGATCACGGTATGTCAGGCACTGGGTCGCTCTGGTCAGTGCCACCGACCAGGATATTAAAAGTACCGTTGGCGGTGCTGCCCAGCTAAGGCAAGCTAGAGCGTACCTGTTCCGACACCACGCTGCACCCCGGAAGCAGCCAGCAGTGGGTCCAGCTTCTAGGCAGGAGGGCCACGGGGCTCGGCGTGCTGCCCCTGCCCTGAGCACCGGCTCTGCACTCCCATTGGCCTGCAGGCGAGAGTTGTGCGAAGCCGCTTGCGCACCTCCACCTAGGAGCCAGACGTGCTGCTGGCTGCTTCCAGGGCGCAGCGCAGTCCATGGTGCCAGGACAGGTGGGAAGCCTGCCTCTGCACCCCGGCTGTGCCACTGACTGGGAGCTTCCAGAGGTAAGTCCGCAAACCAACCCTGTGCCCCAATCCCCTGCCCCAGCCCTGAGACCCCCCCAAACCTGGAACCCCTTCCTGCATCCCAAACCCCTCATCACCGGCCCCACCCCAGAGTCTGCACCCCAGCCCAGAGCCCTGACCCCCTCCCACACCCTAACCCCCTGCCTCAGCCCAGAGCTCCCTCCCACACCCTGAACCCCTCATTCCCAGCCCCACCCTGCAGCCCTCATCCCCACACCCCAACCCTCTGCCCCAGTCCTGAGCGCCTTCCACACCCCAAATCCCTCATCCACAGCTCTGTTGGGTCGCGGGCATCAACAATTTTCTTCAACTGAGTCCTCAGAAAAAAAGTTTGAAAGCCACTGCTCTACTAGATCTCCAAAAAGCCACAATCAAGGAAGAGGGCTATACTGGTTAAAAAAAAACAACCTGGTTTAGAGGGTAAGTGAAGGCAGCTATAATATATATAAAAAAACAAATCTAAGAAAGGGGAAGTTGATAGTGATGAATATAAATCAGAAGCTAGGAATTGCAGAAAATTTATAAGGGAAGCAATAGGACACAAGGAGAAAACTCTGCTGGCTATAGCTAAGGACAATACAGAATGTAAGTATATTAGGAACAAAAAGAAGCCAAATCGTACTGGAAAGAATCATCAATAATAATGGAGAAAAGATAGAAGTGTTCAATAAATATTTCTAGTATGTATTTGGAGAAACAGATATAGTCTCATTATACAAGACTCTCTCCTTTCCACTAGTATCTCAGGAAGATGTCAAACAGCAGCTACTAAAGTTAGATATTTTAAAGTCAGCAGCTCCAGATAACTTGCATCCAAGAGTTTTCCCCAGGCAGCTCTTTTAACTCACTGGACTGTTAATGTTGATATTTAATACATCTTGCAACACTGGGGAAGTTCGAGAGGACTGGAAAAAAGCTAATGTTGTGCCAATATTTAGAAAGGATAAATGGGTAATTATAGGCCTGTTAGTCTAATATCGATCCTGGGCAAGAAAATGGAGCACTGATACAGGACTCAAGGATTAGAAAAAGTGATTGCACTCCTTGAGTCTGTTAAGCTAAATAAAAAGAAAGTTAACGGGTGACTTGATTACAGTCTATAAGTGAAGGGCCAGAATCCATGTGCTGTTTATGTAACAACCTAATATAGACTATGTCAGCTCTTTTTACAGGCCCAAAGTCTAGAGTTTGGTCAAGAGGCCAGAGGCCTAGTAAACAGTGAACAACATTAGCTAAGAGAAGCAGAGCAAACAAAAGATAACTTTGCTTTTTACTAAAATAAGTTTAGTCAGCAAAATGCCAGGTGGGGAGCAGTAATTGGCACTCTTATCTGAAGTGGCAAACAGGCCAAAGGAATGAAAGGGACCTATTGAGCCTGGGTCCGTTCTTCTGTAGAAGATGTTCTCCCCACGCATCAACCTTGAGTTTATGGAAAAGGTTCAAGCATGTCAGTATGAGATGTGACAACCTCCCTGTTGCTTCCCACAGATACCAATGCCTGCCTTAGAAACACAAATGAGCAACTGAAAGACAATCTTTATTGCCATGTACTTTTCATTTGTCTTTTTGTTTTAACTGCTAGGTATACACCTGTTGGACAATCAGAAGGGCTACTTCATTCCTATGGACCCCAAATCAGAATTCAACATATATATATTTTTACTAATATACATTTATACATTGTTTGAAGTACTAATTGTATGTTACTTGTTAACCTAAAACCATGGGCGGAGACATTATGTAATCTTTGACCATTGGCTACTGTGCTTATCTTGTCTTGCTGCTAGACCTATCCAGGGGTTTGGGACTACCTACCCTGTCACTTTCCTCCGCCCATGGAAAATCCATATAATTTACTGTAATCAATTGATTGACAGTGTCTCTGAGCCTAATAAGCAAGGTGACACTCCACCAGCGCTGTGCGTAATAAACCCACCTGCTTGATTCTACACAGTGTCCGTTTTGTGTTCCTTCAATAAGTATCTACAGGGGGAACAAATATTTGATAACAGGGGTTCTTTAGTCTAGCAGACTAAGCAGAAAAAGGCATGACTCAAGCCAATGGCTGGAAATTGAAGCTAGACAAATTCAGACTGGAAATAAAAAGTGAAATTGTAACAGTAAGCATAATTAACTATTGAAACAGCTTGTCCAGGCTAGTGGTGGATTCTCAATCACTGGCAATTTTTAAAATCAAGATTGTATTGTTTTCTAAAAGTTTTGCTCTAGGAATTATTTTGGGGAAGTTCTATGGCCTGTGTTATACAGGAGGAAGACTAGATGATCACATTTATTCCCTTCTGGCCTAGGAATCTATGAACTTACAGTGCAGCCATAAATGTTATCATGAACTACTTTATGAAGATGCAAGACACAGATATTTCTCATGTAGCCATATTGCTTTTTGGTATAAAAATGTCACATTGAAAAATAAAAGGGAAAAATAAGGAAAGAGTAGCAGAGTATGTATGAATTCTGAAGTTACATGAATTTGGAAATGAGCTCCAAATTAAAAACTAAGATGCCAGTCCTGCAAGCAAATTTGTGTGGAAGGAGTTCTGGTCACATGCAGAGCTCCAAAGTTTGGGAGCTCTACATAGGATCAGAGGTCTGTTGGCAGAGTTCTCATTGTAGGAGTGGGGTTTAAGGGCCAGATTCTTCTCTCAAAATATGCACTTACATTCCTAAGTGATCGAACAGAGTTGTGCACACAAATTTGGGACTAGAATTTGGCCCACAGCATTGCTTACATTGTGTGTGTGTGTGTGTGTGTGTGTGTGTGTGTGTGAGAGAGAGAGAGAGAGACAGACAGACAGACAGACACATATACACACACACACAATGACGGTTTATATGTAGCTATTAATGCTGTGATGTCATTGTTAGTTTACAATCCAATTACTCTTGTTGTTGTTTTTTCTCATAAGAGCCATTATATACTTTTAGTGTAAAATACTTCTATCCTTTGAGGAAAGCAGTCATAAGAAAGTACAAAAGTCTAGTCTCCAGGAGGGAGCACAGTCTCCTCTATACCAGGCAGTAACTCTGAAAACAAAATTTACCATTCTTACTTATATGGTCCCTATTACTATACTATCTGAGGACCTGACACTCTTTCCCACATTTATTCTCTTAACACCCCTGTGAATTAGGGAAATACTGCTATGCCTACTCTACAGCTGTCGGAAACTGAGGCAAGAAACTAAGTAACCTGTCCACAGTCATGCAAGTCAGTGGTGCGGCAGGGAATTGAACACAGGTCTCCCAAATCACAGGCTTGCACCCTTAACAATACATCACCTTCCTCCTATGGCTACTGTCTTTGCACTCAGGCCAGTGTACATTGATGTGTAAAGGTGCAGTACACAGAACACAAAGGCATTATGGTTTCTTAGTTACATTCACCACGAATTAAAATGTACATAATTATTAGTAATAAAATCCAGTTAGATTTAGATCTTATCTACTTCACTTAGCCTTCTTTTGAATTAATGTGTTAGGTCTCAGTTGTTATGGTACCAATACATGTAACTATTTACAGTGTAAAACTGTAAAAAAATATGAGTAATGATTGCCACACCCAGGCATTCATATATGTGTTACTGCACTTAAATATGTTAAGCATAATTGTTCAACTATTAAAAAGAGTAAATCCCACATCAATTTTAGTTGCACAAATGATCAAGAAAATTCCTTTATAATCTTCTTTTTCTACTTTGATTTTTTTTTTCTTACATGAAAATTTAGAATTTATGAGAGGTTTCAGATTGTCAGCTCTAGAAACTGAAGTCCTTTATTTAGAACAAATCCAGGAATGGTAGAACAAATGTCTCCATGCTGTTCCTGGACAACATGCATCATCTCTGTCCTGGAAGGACCACCTGCATCAGTGAGAAAAAAAAAGTTTGTCTCCAGGTCCTGGGCTTGAAAACTCCATTTGCCCATTCACCATGGAGGAGCAGGAAATTTTAAAGGGGGTTAAATTCAGTACAAATAAGTAGTTTACAACTCTTATTTTTAAATTGCATGGGGCATAGCCTTGGAAAGCAGGAGATATACATGCAACATTTTTCAAGCGCTGTCAAAGCACAAGACGGCCTGATCCAAAGGCTGCCAAAGTCAATGGAAGTCTTGACAGATCTCAGCGTGCTCTGCATCAGGCTCTAAATCAGGCCTCCCTAAGGGTATTCTGCACTGGAGCAGTAATTCCCAGCTCGAATAGATATACCCATGCTAGCTCTGATCAAGCTAGTGTGCTAAAAATAAAAGTACAGCTGTGGCCGTGTGAGCAGCAGGAGGGAGCACCAGTGAAACAAGGATAATTACCACGATTGGTTGCCCCTGTATTTCCCTCTCTAGGCCTCAAAAGTTGCTGAGGCATAAGGCAGGATGTTAGAAATCTTCCTTAGTGATAAAGGGTTAGAGGATTCTGTCCCATTACTCCTGACTCCCATGGGTCATCTTCACTCATGCAAGTGGTCTCATGCTTCTCAATGGGGCATTTTGTGTAAATGAGTAAGGATCACATCTCTGAGTAAAGGCTGGAAGATCAGGCCCTTGAAAATATAAACAAGTCAGAACAAATTAAATCCCAAGATGCACCAAGTCTGCTCCATAACACAAAGGAGCACAATCTGCTATGAGTGCAGAACGCATATGAAAAAGGTGCATTCCCTCTACACCATTTTATACCTGGCTGCTACAGTAAAACCCTTGGGATCAAGCATCTCAAAGGAGCACAACTCAAACAAAATCCAATAGCACCAAGTGGGGAGCTCAGTGACTGGCCTGCCAAACATAAGGAGTAAGTTCAGTTGTGTTCCTTAATAAATAATTGCTCCCAAGAGTCCAATTGCAGCAAGTGTTTACAAAACAATACGAAGAGGATTAATGTTTCTTGCATGCTTTCTGTATTCATAACCCAAGGGGACATTTACTGCAAAGGGGCAGAGGTGCTGAAAACTCCTAAGAATTCATTACTTTGGTTTGGCTCTTCGTCTCTAATGTAATAACAATCTGCTCTGGTGCCAGCTGCTCCGGTTCCCGGGCCTGGACATAAACAGTTAATAAACAAGCAATCAAGCAAGACAATTTAGCAACAAGAGCGACTGATTCATTCTGTTCCCTTCCTCCTTTATTATCCCCCTCTGCTTCCCTCCCACCAGCTGAAGCTGGTGCCCATAAGTGCTGGGGCTGGCAATTACATCCTCACCACTCCCCCCACCCAACGAGAGAAGGCACCTAAGAATGTGATCCACAAAAGCCAGAATGCCAGTGGGGAGCCACCTAAACTAGCCAAAGGGAGATGCTGCTCAGAATGCTGTGTGCTAAGCCCCCCACCCCTCTCTGGGAGATAGGTGCCTAGGGAGAAGCCTAGCTCTGCATAGCAATTCACAAACATGCACCTGCTGCGAAGAGTCAGGCAGCTTAGGCACAGAGGGCTTTTCTTGTGGGAATGGGTTAGGTGCTTGCCTTGCTCCACACATGGTCAGAGGAAGTGGTGATGGCGGTACCTACTGTATAACTTTCAGCCCAGTGGTTACAGGCACAGGTTCAATTCCCACCTCTCAGGAGGGTGCTCTAACCATGGAGTTACGGAATATTTTAATGTGGGTCTTTCTCAGTCTCTCCTGCTGAAGCTGTTTGACCCTAGCTAAATAATGGAAGAGTGGTAGGAGATGGGGGACTGGACCTGGGGTCTCCTAGCTGAATTCCCTAACCCCTGGGCTACAGAGTTATTCTTGCTCCCTCTCTTGCTCTCTTTGGCCCAATGATGATTTAAGTATTGATCCACTGTGGAACAGTCACTTGGGCCACACAGAGAGAGAGCAAGAAAAAAAGCAGGAATGACTCTGTAGCCCAGTGGTTAGGGCATCCACCTGGAAGGCAGTGGACGCCAGGTCTAGTTTCCCGGCTCCAAAGATTCTTTCATTATGTATTCACAGCGGAACAATTTCAGCAGGAGAGATTAAAGGAATCGCCCACATCAGAATAGCTAGTACCTCAGTGGTTAAAGCACCTCCTGAAAGGTGGGAGACCCCTGTTCAAATCCTTTCCCCCACCTGACAGAGAAGGGGGAATTAAACCAGGGTCTCCCATATCCCAGGTGAGTGATCTAATGACAGGGCTAAAACTGATAAGTAGGCTTGGATGGATTAATCTTTTATTTGATAAACGTTGGGAATGTCAATTTCACCATACACACACAAGCCAACAAAAAATATTTCCATCAATAATAAATCAAAATGTACAGATAGGAAAAGTAAGAAAAATGCTGCCTGAGCAGTTAGACTCTCAGACAAAGGCCAGGAGGGATCATCATGATCACCAAGTCTGACCTCCTGCACATTGCAGGCCACAGAACCTCACCCATCCACTCCTATAATAGACCCCTAACCTCTGGCTGAGTTACTGAAGTCCTCAAATCATGATTTAAAGACTTCAAGTTACAGAGAATCCACCATTTACACTAGTTTAAACCTGCAAGTGACCCATGCTGCAGAGGAAGGCAAAAAACAAAACAAAACCCAGGGTCTATGCCAATCTGACAATTTATTAGAATAAAAATACAGTGATTAAGATTTTTGAATTAGGCTTGTTACAAATGGACTAGTAACTGAATAGTAGAAACAGATACAATTTGTTGATTTAAAGATATTTACTTTGTATATTTTGACATGTGATGTTGACAATTTGTGTTTTAGCAGTTATAAAACTTTAACTTTTTGAATCTCAACACCTGTCATTAAATAATTGTCTGACTCCCCCATAATTTCCTACAACTGTGAAAATTTAAAACGATCATCTTTAAAAATAAATTATTATCCATCAAAATTATTTTAAAAACCCTGAATTCTGCAAAGCCTAGTTATAAGGTTACTGGCGGCACTACCACAATGATGATTTTGAATGGGACCCGATCTGGTAGGTGGCCTCTGAGCACACCTACTGTATTGGGCCTGTATGCACTTTAGGCCGCCAAATGACTGGCTTCCCCAGCTCATGGATTGCTCTGTAGCTTAGGTGGGAGGGAGGCAGTAGTGCATGTATAACGCTGACGGACTCCAGTCATCAGCGGGCAGGATAGAACCGGGGACCTCTGGAGCTTAGTGCATGAGCTAAAAGCCAACTGGCTATTAGCAAAGGCTGTAGAGCAAGCTCATTAAATCTCTCTCTCTAAGTGGTCTCGGTGCCACTAGATGGGACACAACACCACAACCAGAAGGTGTGTGGGTTACACATGTGCTCAGAAGGGGGAAGCTAGGGAACTTTTACTCTGAAAACTTATGCTCTGAGTGAGTTTAGGAGCTGACCAGGTTTGGCTGAAGTTTTGTGGATCGCAGTGGAGCCAAAACTGGGACTTAGGTACTTAAGCCCCAGACATAAACATAAGTACCTCTGTGGATCTGAGCCTTATTATCTCTGTGCCTCAGTTCCCCATCCGTAATATGGGAATAATAGTACTTCCCTACCTCACTTGGATGTTGTGGTGATTAAAAACCTTACAGGCTCTGAGGTACTCAGATACTGTGGTAATTGGGTCTATATAAGCTCCCAAATAAAATCAACTACCTAAACAATTTGGGGCTCTTCCTATTAAATAAATTCAATACTTGCCCAGGGGTCCTCTGCTGTTCCTCCAAGCTTTTCTTTCCTGGTCCTTGTGGAAATGAACAGGGAGCCTGCTCCCACCTTGCCAGGTTACAGCCCTGCTTCTTTTAAAGGGCTCACTGGCCATCTCCTCACTCCCTCTGCCTTAGCTTTCTCCACTTACGCCCCTGGTGCCAATCCACTGGTGGAGGTTGTTGCCTGTACTGAGGCTGAGCCGTGCTCAGACAATTTGAAGCAAATCTTCTTTAGCTCCAGAGATGACTGGAAAGGCAGACTGTGGGTATGCCTGGCCTGACCTCAGACCTGCTCTAGCCATTCAATGGAGAAGGCAACAGCCCCACCTCTCCTTTCCCCTAGCACCATTCTATGGTGCTGCTGATACCAGATAATGCCATCCCTTACCTGACTGCACTCTAGGGTGCGGCCCCAAAAGGGCTAGAATCTGATCCCATTCAGGAGTATGTCAAACGATACTAGGGAACTTTTAGTGTATGGTAGCAGAATCCACATGGCCAGTCAGTGCACGGCAAACTAGGGCACTGTAGATTTACACCCCAGTTTTCTGTGCACTAACTCTCTATCTAGACAATCCCTGGGCCTTTATGAATTAATCTGGAGTTGAAGAATGATATGATATTTTTATCCCAATGAAGACAGTCTTTTCACAGGCACAAACATGTTAGAAACAGACATAATTAAATATTTTTTTATAATTATTTCTATAGCACTTTCAGTGTGTGTGGCACTATATAATCATATGAAGGGTATCACAAACAGCTCCCTGCCTTGAGAAGCTCCTACGAAAGGGTCAGTGGATCTATTTACCTATTGGGTGGGTACCTCAGGCCTGCACGGTTCTACCTCACAAACCCCATTACAGGAAAACAATCTAGATGGGCTCCATGGCCCCCTGCACGAGTATTTTTAGTAAAAGTCGTGGACAGGTCACGGGCACTAAACAAAAACTCACAGCTCATGACCTGTCCATGACTTGTTCTATATACCTCTAACAAAAACTTGAGCCGGGGGGCTGCGGGTGCTGGGGGGGGGGGCAGTCCGGGGGCACCATGGGTGCTGGGGAGGAGGCATGCAGCAGCGCGTGGCCCAGGACCCCTGCTGGTGCTGGGGGGGAGGAGAGTAGGAGGCTTGGCGGGGCTGGCAGGCTCCCTACCCAGCTCCATGCAGCTCCTCGGAAGCAGCCGGCATGTCCCTGCAGCTACTAGAGGGAGGGAAGGCCAGGCGCTGGCTCCACAGCTCCCATTGGCCGGGAACCGCAGCCAATGGGAGCTGAGGGGTGGTGCCTGCAGGCAAGGGCAGCATGCAGAGCCCCCTGGCCCCTCCGCCTAGGAGCAGCAGGAACATGCCGGCCACTTCCGGGGAGCCCCTCCCCCGAGGTAAGTGCCTCTCCACACCCCAACCCCCTGCCCCAGCCCTGAGCCCCCTCCCACACCCAAACTGCTGCTGCTGGCCCAGGGACTGCCCAAGTAGCCCCGGAGCCAGCCACACCAGCCACTGCAGAAGTCACAGAGGTCACAGAATCCATGACTTCCGTGACCTCCGTGACAGACACGCAGCCTTATCATAACAGTAGAGGGAGCTATCTGAAGCACTTACAATCTAAATAGGTAAAACAAACAAATGGTGTTAGAAAGAATTATTATTTTTCAGACAGGAAACTGAGGCACTGACAGATTAAGTGACTTGCCCAAGGTCACACCTGAAGACTCTGGCTGAGCCAGGAATTTAACCCAGATCCCAGTCCAGTGCCTTAGCCACAAGAGACTATTTCCGCTCTTCTGCTCAGCTTACATTCTAAGGCTAACTTAATTGAAATTTAAAAGTAGACCTCCAACTCAACAATCTATCAGTAGAAATACCCCATTACGTGTTAAGCTTACCTGGATAGCCTTTGCATAAAGAGAAAAACAGAACCATAAATATTGAGATGTAGGACCAAATTCAGACTTGGTGGTAGGTGTAAGTCTATTGAATTCAAAAGGCGTACTCAGCTCTTTTGAAAAGCTTATTTATATGCCTAATTGTGGTCTTAGGAGCCTCACTTTAGGTGCCCATTTTCAAAAATCTTGGCCTATATTTATACTTCACAATGTTTCCAGCCTTGCAAACAGTCACGCCTGGCCAATTTTCCCCTCCCTATCTTATAACAGGGCGAACCACACAGAAACTAGCTAGTGATTGAAGAAAGGCAAACACCAACTGGAAACAATGGATTCAGTAGGAGCGCCCATTCAGAGGAAAACCTTGGGTTTCTCTGGGGTTACACAGGGTATAAGTCAGTCCTGAATTTACCCCCATGTGTTTAACCAAGCCCCCTGTAATATGTCAGGCAAGTCCAGTCTGCTGAGGTACTTCATTTCAGATGACCTTTGCCTTCCTTTTAAAGTTTAAGTGAATGTCACGCTCATGAAAGATGCCAGAGGGAGAACCCTGGAGAACAGGTGCAGCACTCAGGGCAGCTTTCCCCACTCTATCTCACCAGCACCTCAAATCTGACCTGGAGGCACCGTACCTCTAAGGATCACCGGGTATTTCTGTTCAGTGCTTGGTCACTGCTTTGACTGGCAACAAGTAACCAGTGTTAGTGGTTATGGGATGTATACACCTGTCCATTAGGAACTGGACTAAGGCCACCCAGTTATTTCACCTAGGTCACTAGGTCATCACTGACCTGGGATGAAATCAAACAGGTGACCTAGTGGTGAATTGCCTTATTATCTGTTTCGATCAGTGGAGGCCTCTACTTTGGTTTTGGAGAGGTGCCAAGAGTCAGTCTGGAATGTGCCTGAGATTGTCACAGGGACATGGATCATTTCCTTATAGCCCTTATCAAGTATTCATGCCGTCCTCGCTCCACCAGGAATCAACCTTCAGCCAACACCCTGTCACTGACAGGTTAGGTGACAGAACAGCCTCCCGTGACAAGGGGGAGGGGGGGAGACCCGGCAGAGCCCTCAGTGCCCCACTCACCACAGACACACCCGCTTCTTACCCAGCCCGTTGCTGTGTCTCTAGAGCTGCTCCCAAACCCTCCCGCATGGGGCAGGAGCATCTGGCTCCCGGTAACGTGCCGGCTTGGGGGGGGGGACACTTGGGGGGGCCGCTAGCAGGGCAGGGGAGCTGCAGCCTCCCCCTGCCGACACGCACACAAACAAATACGGCCTAACAACCTGCCCTGCACCCACCAAGCCCGTGGGGGCCACGCACACACCCGCCGCCGTGCACCCTGCCTGGGAGAGCCAGGGCCGCTGTTCGCGGGGCTCGCTGAGGGCACGAGGGTCTGACACACTCAACACAGCCCAGCCTGGCGGGGCAGCGCGGCGGGGCAGCAGCGGCCGCGGGGAGGCAGGACGGGGTGAGGGGGAGCTCGGGAGCGCTGCCTCTGCCGTCCCAGCGGGGCACGGGGCCCACTGGGATCAGGATCGACGCCTCCTACCTGATCCGGTCCTTCTCGGCCCTTTTCAGCTCCGCGTCCCGCTCCAGCACCTGGACAATCTGCCGGGCTTCCTGCTCGCTGAGGAAGGTGAGATCGAGCCCGCGCGGGGCTCCAGCCATCGCCGCGCACGGGCTGGGGACCGGCTCTGTCCCCTCAGCTCCTGCCCCGCCCAGCAGCCGGCCCCAACTTGCGGGAAGCACCAACTACCCGCACCTGGGGGCCTGGCCCTGGCCACCACCTGCGTGAGTGACAGCCCGCCGAGCGAACCCCGGCGGGGCGCCAGAGGCTGAACGGGGCGCCGGGACCAATCGCGTGTGCGCAGGGGCGGGCCGTGTCCCAAGGTGGCTGAGCCGCGTTCGGAGCAAGTCCCTTAGGTCTACCGGGAGCGAGGCGGAGAGAGGCAAATATTTGCTCTGAGCCTTTGGCCATTGACGCGCATTCGGGTTTTGGCAATGAAGGAGTCGCCTGGCTGGAGGGGCTTTGTCAAGACCTGGGTGGGGGTCTGACCCGGGGAAGTTTGACCTTTAACAAAGGTAGAGATCCCCAGGGGCGGGAGCCAGCGCTGGAAACAGATGGTCCTGGGGCTGCAGGAAACACCCTGTTGGAGAGAGACCAGCACTGCAGTGAGGAGCCCTGGGCTACGGGGACACACACTCTGGTCAGCTCATTTCAAATCCCTGCGTGACCAGCAGCCTGCCTGTTTGGGTCTGTGACCCTACCTGTAAAATGGAGATGACAAATCAGCCCTCAGGTATCATGGGGTAGCTGTGTTAGTCTGTATCCACAAAAACAACAAGGAGTCTGGTGGCACCTTAAAGACTAACAGATTTATTTGGGCATAAGCTTTTGTGGGTAAAAAACCCACTTCTTCAGCCCTGGCTCACAGCGTTGTGAGGTTTTAATGAATGTCTGTAAGGGAATGGGAAGATGTGGACTTTGTGTGATCACTTACAGAGGGGAGACAAGTGGGGTCCAATGTAGAAACAGGAGTCAGGAGACCTTGCTTCTAATTCCTGGCTCTGTATCTAAGCTGCTGTGTGACCATGGGGAAATCACTCCAGCTGTCTGGGCCTCTGTTTCCCCTGCTGCTCTGTGTCTGTTTAAATTGAAAACTCTTTGGGGCAGTGACCAATGCTTAATTTGGGCCAGGGCTGAGCCCGGCACTTCTGACCTTGTAGTGTCAGTTATGAAAGTTTTTTTAAAAAAATTGCTTGAGCCCCAGCACCTCTTTCATTACAAATTAAGCACTGGCACTGCCTGAATGATTGATTGTACAGTGCCTGGTGCAAAGCGGACCCCATCTTGGTGGGGGAGTTCTACCTGCTACAGTAACACTAATAATAATTATTGATACCTGCATAAAGAGGGGGTAAAATGCTACTAAATCTGAATTTTCCATTTACAGGGGAAGTAGGCAGGAGCATTTGACACTTAGCACAGGTGTGAGTGATTTCACAGGCTGCAAAGCAGTGGAGAATCAGGCTTCTTAATTGCTAAGCATTATTATAACAACACAGAAATAACTTTTGTCCTGGTCTAATTTCTGATGGCTCTTATTGTGGAGCAACATGTTAGAAACTATTTTGATGTTCCTGCATTGTATGTATCAAGATAAGAATATATTACCCTTGATATTTCAACCAGAGGATAAAAAAAGATTTTTAATTGTGACTGTGCCTGCAATTTAGCCCCAGCAGCCATAGGCAGGAGTGTGGATGCAGTTTCCACTCATTAGTTTTCAAAAGGAAAAATGCATGCATTGAAATAATAATAGTAGTACAGTGAGACTCAAATTATGGGCCTATCTTAAAGTGTAGTGGTGAGTGTGATTAATTTGTCTTTTAATGGGTAAGATGGTCAAATTGTTATTTACCTGGGTCAGCACTGGAAGGATTTATTTCAAACAAAAGGAGAAGTTTTAAAAAAAATTCAGTGTAGATTGAAAGATGCGTCATATTTATACTTTACTTTTTGTGACCCTTTTCACTATGATTTATGTCATGCGATTAATTAAACTTGCCTGTACTTAATCTGCATGGTAATTCACACAGTAATTAGTTCAGCAGGAACAGACAAGATTCTACAGTTCTTCCAAAAACTCAGGGCCAGTTGCTACAAGAATCGACTGCTGCACATTTCCCTACATTCCCTACCAATATTTCAGCATCTGTAAACAGCCCCTTGGGCTTTTTGCATTTCTACCACTTGGAAATCCTTTCTTGAGAATATTTCATTTAATTCATCCTCAAGGATGAGTGAGGTTAACCCCTCCCACAGCATAGCAGTGTTTGTAAAATCAGGTTTGTTTTTGTTGAATGTTTAACTAAATTCAAAAATTCATATGCTTGTTTTGTTAAAATATTATATGTTTGCTGTTGAAGAGAAAAATCCAGAATACATAATGTTGTTGTTTTAGTTAAATAAAATAATTTAAATGTCTGTCTGGTGATGTTCTCCTCCTAATACAACATGGCAAGAAAATCCTCCAAATATTAATGATAGTTCACCTCCCAATGACTTCATAAACATCTGCTTCAATTACCTTTGGTAAATGAAATAACCAAACAATCATTCATTTTCTGATATAGCTGTAAAACTAATCTGAAAAGTTTTTCAAAATAAATCACTTAAAAATGTATAGTGTGTACCTTCTAAAAATGAAACCTAAATCTATCTCTGAGTTATGAAGAATATGTATTAAGGTTATAACAACCAACAAGAAAGCACGTTTATGTAGAAATCCATGATTAAATCGAGTCTTCCTGACTAGTGATTTAAATCAAATCCACCCTGCTGCTTTCATTTATTTAGGTAATTTATTTAAACTATGATAGATGGAGAATAGGTGTGAGGCGCACTGGAGGAAATTCCCAAGCCCCCTTACCTAATAGTAATGTAGCTAGGTGTGACTCTTTATTTCTAGTTATTGGTCAACAAATATATGCAGCCATCCGTTCAGTGTTGCATCATAGGCAACTGAAGAGCAAGTGACAGCTGGGAAATCAAACTCACAATTTATATTGACTACTGACCATCACCAGAAAGATGAGTAGCAAACAGTTTATGGAGCACATTTATTTCAGTCCAAAAATTTAGATCAGTTCTAATCACTAAAGCACCATAAGCATTTATAAGGCCTTATTCGCCTTTCATAGAATATTAGGGCTGGAAGAGACCGCAGGAGGTCATCTAGTCCAATCCCCTGCGCAGGACCAACACCAACTAAATCATCCTACCCAAGGCTTTGTCAAGCAAGGATGGAGATTCCACCACCTCCCTAGGTAACCCATTCCAGTGTTTCACCATCCTCCTAGTGAAATAGTGTTTCCTAATATCCATCCTAGACTTCTCCCACTGCAACTTGAGGCCATTGCTTTACAGCTTTATTCCACTGTGGCAATGTAAAGAAGCCTTAAAACTTTTACATCTGTTTTATAGTCTTGGGGGAAATCACAAAAACAATGGGAACAATTTACTAAGCTGACAGGCTGCTACAGAACCTGCCCCATGCCTACCTCCTCAGAAACACCCCAAAGCCCTGCCTATCTACACTAAGTGCCACAATAGTGAGCGGGAGGGACAGAGTGTTTCCCTCTCTCCCGTGAACAACTGCCCAACCCCCCCTCCACTGCCAGCGGTGATTTATGTTTCTACTGGCTGCTCCGGGCACCCGAACCAACCTGCCTGTGCTGCTGGGGAGGGGCATGTGACTGTTCTTGTAGCTTCACCGTCAAAAGTCATTTTTCTGCAGGAAAGCAAAGAAATCTGCAGGAGACATGAATTCTGTGCATGCACAGTGATGCAGAATTCCCCCCAGGAGTACTGTACTCAAAACTGTATAAGATGCACAAAGAGGCAGCTCTCTTGTGAGAAACCTGCAATCTATATAGGCAAGACAACACAAATAAGATATAAAATGCACTGAAAAGGGCAGTGTGGTCCAGATGACAGGGCACTGGACTGGGAACCAGGAGAGCTGGGTTTCTGAATCTGCCACTGACCTACTATATTACCTAGGGCAAGTCACTTCACTGGTTTCTCCTCCCACCCTTTCTTTGTCTTGCCTAGGTGTGAGCTCTGGTACCGAGTATTGAGAATATTTGCAAGAAAATGAGCTGGAGATAGTGCTTGTCCCATTCAGTTTTTTTTAATGCTTGTAATTTAACTCTGTCATTGCATATTTCTCTTTTTAAGATCTCACTCAGTTCCTTCCAAATTTCAACAGCGTCAGCAATAAAACAGCTATTTCCCTGCATTTTGTTCAAGGCTACAGAAATAGGCTTCAGGGTACTCAGCATGTGTTCAACATTTCTCTTAAGCCCAATGTTGAGAACTTTGGCTGTGACAGTGCCGTCTATTTTTTTCACGATTTTGTCCACAAACTGTCATCAGATTAGGCCAGTTATTGATATAGTGCTCAAAACAGTCACTACTGAGTTCCATTGCACGTCTTGTGGGAGAGTTAGCTTGGTTCCTCCCACTTTTTTCAGAGCAGCTGCTGCAAAGTGGTTGTTACGGAAGTATTTTGCAATTTCAACAACATTAGACTTTGTTTCTGGAACACTGAAGTCTTTGGCTAGGAGGTGCATCAAATGAGCACTGCAACTGTATGTTATTAGCTTGGAACTACCTTCTAAATAATTTATTCTCATCTTCGTTACGTTTGCAGCATTGTCTGTTACCAAGCTGCGTACTAGACATTTGAATTTTTTTTCACAGTTTGTTATAACTTTTACTGCTGCTTCTTGTAAATATTCTGCTGTGTGTGCATTTCCTGATGTATCAATTGTTTCTGTAAGGAAGACATTCCCTTCTTCTGTTGTCACACAAGCACATAAAACAGGATCATGTGCTACACCCATCAAGACTCAGGTTAACAATTTTACCCTCTTTTGCACACTGCTCAATTTCTCTTTCATACACTTTATCCAGCAATTTGCCTGCGACATCTGCTCTGTTGGGTGGACTGTATCCTGGTCTTAATGACTGAACCATATTAATGAAGTGTGGGCTCTCAATCATACGGAAAGGAGAGTTTACTGCATAACCAAACTGGGAAATTTTTTCATCAATTACCTCTTTTTTTGTAATCTGCTAGTTCTTATCACAAACTTATCTA